ATATAAGCCATCCCTGATAGGCTAGTGGATAAAGCGCAGCGCACTCACCGGTTCAAATCAGGGTTGCAGCAGGAAGGGCATCTGGTCGCTGTGGTGACCCCTAAATGGGAAAAGCCACAAGTGACTTTCTATATATATCTACAGTGTGTGTATATATGTTCATTCATAATAATTCAGATTTTCATTCATAATAAAAAAAAAAGTATTGAATAAGCTTATATTGTTGTTTCTTGTGGCATGATAAGTTGAATAAAATGAGGCTGGCATACTTATGGCTTTTTATTTAATTGGAATGAATATTATAACATTAAATCAAAAGAAACATGAACATCTATCTACAAGTGTTGGTTTGTGCTCTTTTTTTAAATAAATCCAAACAACAAACAAACAGGAGTTTTAAATTTGGCCCAAAATACTGAGCAAAACCAGAACAGTAAACCATGGTGAACTAATCAGAGACATACAACACAATGTTTTTGTTCATTCGGTTTTGAAAAAACAACAAGAACATAAAGTGGTGAAATTTACTTATTTTTAAAGGAAATTTTTTGGCTTCTTTGAAATAACAAACACTCTATTCACAGAATATACAGTTCAATAAACACTTTGTTTACCAGTCCTTTTTTTAGGGTGTACTCACTTGTCAGGCCCTTATTATAAATTGCATTTTTTATTATTATTATTATTACCATTTCTCAGTGTTTGACTTATTCACAGTACATGCCCCCTGCCTCCAGACACAGCAGATCCTCCCGCCGAGTGTCCATTCAGTCAGGATATTGCAAGAAATCACAAAGAGAATGCAAGGGCAATGTATAGCCCCATGAGCAGATTTTTTTTTTTTTTTTTACAAAACCCCAAGAAATGCAAGATTTTTTTTACCCCAATCAGTCAAAACTTATTGTTTTCTTTGTTTGCTAGTTTACTGAATTTTGAAATTAACTATTATATTTTACAACAGAGCCCATGCCTGAATACTGTAACCACAATGTAAATGAGAGATGACTGTGTGGGCCCTTTTAATACTGCATACCC